GAACCAAATGGAAAAGCTACAAATAGAAAATACTATATCAGAAATGAAGAATTTATCAGGTTGGCTTGATAGCAAGCTAGACACCAATGAAGATAGGTCAATAGAAAGTTTCTAAACTAAAGGACAAAGAGAAAAAGAGCAAGGGGAGTGGAACAGAGCATCCAATATATGTCAAACATCATCAGATGGTCTAACATAATATAATTGGAGTCTCAGAAAGAGAATAGCAAGAAAATGGGAAGGAAATTTGAGTTGATAATGTCCAAGAACTTTCCAAATTGATGCAATGCATCAATCCACAGATCCAAGAAGCTCAGTGAACCCCAAGTAGGTGAAAAAGATATGTATAAAAATGACTCTAAATTTGTGCAGGGATCTCTTGTGGTGAGTCTAGAAATGTTAATAAAATCCAAATCCAATAACCAAAAGAAATTAAAATGCAATTCCAGTCATTACTTGTATTTCTAGGAAATTATTACGAAGGGAGCCAATCTGTATCCATATTAGTTCTTAAAATCTACTTTTTTTCGTTCTCCCTTCTCTTGCTTTGCGCTTCATAGCCTCCAAACTTCTGTAAAACCCCATTTTCTCTCCATCATCCAAATACTTTTTCTGTTCACATGTATTTTCCCTTTGCCAAGACCCGTAATCTTACAGCCAGAATTGGCATCTAGGCTTTAATTCCCATTGGCCAACAACTGCTGGCAGCTCTTTGATGGCAGAGAACCTACAGCTCCACGCTTCTTGGTCAGATACCACAGAGGAAAAATGCAGATTCCTCTGAGATTTGATTTAGAAAGATGTTCAAAGTATGTTTGGTGAGAAAAGTAAAAAAGCAGAGTATATTTCCATCTTTGTAAAACAATTTGTGTTTCTGTGTCTTAGAAACGTCAAGTGGTAGTCTTACTGGTCATTTTAATTATTTTACTTATTTTCATTTTCTCATTTTTATTGCATTATATAATTTTTAAAAACATTTTCAAATATTGAAGTTGAACTTCTTTTCCCCCTTTGAGCCACCTGTGAGCAGCCACTGCCAATGCCAGCCTAGGGCCAAGAGTTCTTTCTGAAGTTCAGCATTCTTCCTCACTGGCCAAAGGCCAAGGCACACTGGCATGTTTCTTGGGGTTTTCAGACCTTTGCTGTTTATCTGACCTTGATATCTATCTGGGCTTGTCTTCTGGATTTGGCCTGGAAGAGTCTGAGCAGATAGACTTTCCCTTCTTTATCATCAGATCCAACTGATGAGTTCCACGTACATACACAGTATCCGTTTCCACAAATGTACTGTTTGTGCTGTGGAACAGTTGAAGAATAGTGTGTCTGGTGGAAAGCACACAGGCTCTGGGTATCTCTTACCTAGATATAGTTCCACTTTTGTTACTTGTTAGTGTTGCATCCTCAGGCAGGTCACTCTACTGCTCAGTGCCTCAGTCACCTCATCTATAAAATGGGCATGGAGAAGTACCCAAGGATGTTAGGAAGATTTAAATATATGTACTTAAATATATATACATATATAAATATATAAAATAATGTATAAGATATAGAAATGTAAATATATATGTATATTAAAAAATTCTATTATATTAAATATATATGAACATTTGCTATATCATGCTAGTTATTTTTAGCATGAAAATTCACTGTATTTTCCATTTTAGTCATAGCATGGAGCTAAAAGCAGTATTTAACAGTTCATTCTACCTTATTCTGTAATTCATACTGGCACATCCACCTTCCTCAGGGAAGTTTTTTTGAAGCAAAGTGTCTATCTTCTTCTGTGTATCCCCCAAAGCACACAGTGTTTTTTGCCTAGAAGATAGCCAGAGAATGACTACTGCTCAACTGTATAACTCTGCTTCTTGTTATAGACCCATACCAAGATGGCTGTAACCATGTAGGCCATTTAAATGGAGATATACCTTTTGAGCTTGTTTCTAAATACAATTGCAAAACAGAATAAAATGTGTTCTATATATGTATATTTTTCTAAGCCTCACAAAGTGACATATTCTAGTATAGCCTAAGAGATTGGACAGAGCCAAGCAGGAGAGGCACAGACCCACACTAGTTGGACAGCCTTAGATGTGTTTTCCACGAGGCCAATAATGTGCATTATGGGCATCTGAGAGAGAGAGAGCAGACAAATGTCAGAAAGTCAAGGGAAAGAAGGCCCAGATGTTTTCAGTCAACTCAGGTTGGCTGACAGTAGAGGCAGAGAAATTGAATGGTGTTGTAGACATCTAGTGTGCAAGGCCTGGTAATAAGGACTGTATACAGGTTACTTCATTTAATTCCTATAATATCTCCATAAGATAGATATTCGTCAACCCATTACATACATAAGGCATTTGAGGCTCAGAGGTTAATTTCCTTGCCCACAGTTACATAGCCAGTAAGAAGCAAAGCAAAGGTTTCAGCACAGGTCTTCCTGATTTGAAACATATTTTGATTGCTAAGTTGTGGCAGCAGCCAGCTGAAAATGGGGAGTGGATCTAGGACCAAAACAGCTAGACAGACGTTAAAGTTCTGAGATTAGAGTGTTGTTGGAAGAATGGGGAGTGTACTTCTCTCCAGAGTCCAGGAGGACATGTGGGAGTAACCCAGTGCCAATGTGGGAAAACCCAGTGCCAATGTGGGAAGACTGTCCTGGACCTAGAATCAGGGCCACTGGGTGGACACTGGGTCAGGATCTTAAACCAGAAGGTCTGGTTTACTGGGCCGAGGCACAGAGATGCTATGGCAAGGCAGTCTGACCCAGGCAGTTGTAGATTACCAGTTACAAGTATATATTTGTGTATATAAAATATGTATGTAAAAATAGGATGAGATATTTCCCCAAAATGATTTTTAGTCTGTATTATCTGAGTTTTCTGTAATAAATTACTTGTTTTTGTTTTAAAGACTTTTTAATAAAATAACACAGACTCAGAAAACAACATAAAACTAAGGTATAACCTAATAAATATAAAGCAAAGCAACAGAACCTTGCTAGTCACCCCAAGAGCAACCTGAGTGCTTTATGCAAAATCCATCACCATCTTCCCCTCCTCCAAGAATAACACTGTCGTGAATTCTATGATAATCACCTCCTCACATTTTTTTTTGCAGTTTTATCATCCAAATATGCTTTCATAAACACGTAGTTTAATTATGCCTGCATACGTGTGTGTGTGTGTGTACACACACATACCTGATTTTTTTATACCACATTATATATAAAACATTCAGAAAACAATATCAGCACTGTCACCTACATGATTACTAAAAATTTTAGATATATGTGTATAATTTATGTGTAATATACATATATGTATACATATATATATGTATGTATACACACACACACACACTATATGTAAATAAAATACAAATCATCTGGGCAGCAAGTAGTAAAGCCACTTAAGAATGTTGTTTAGGGCCGGCCGAGTGGCGCGATGGTTAAGAACTCGCTTGGGATGCCAGAGGGCCCCGATTCGGATCCCACATATGAGGGCCAGTGACACTGCCCTCCGCAGCTGAGATGCTGAACAACAGCTCAACCTGGAGCTGGGCTGCCATGAGTCGCCGGCGACGGCGTGGGCTGCAGTCCCTGTGGCAGTGGGTTGCCATGGGCTACCGTGTGTGGCCAGCAGCCAGCGTGAGCGGCCAGCAGCCGCAGTGAGCGGCCGTCCAGAAGCCGGCGACTGATCTGCCTCGCCAGAGAAGAGCGCAATGATGGTGCCAACTTGGGCCAGTGAAGCAACATCCTCCACAACTAGATTGAAGAACAAAACGACAGCAACTTGTCTGTTCCCCTTCCCCCAACTCCCCAGCACTGTTCCCATCCCCCCAATTCCCCAATAAAAATCTTTTAAAAAAAAAAAAAAAAAGAATGTTGTTTACACTAAGTATTCCCAGCAGAGGTCCCTTGTGCTTTATGCCTAGGACCAGAAGTAGCATCAGTGTGTGACTAGAACAGAGTCCACAGGTCTGAGTAGTTGTGTATCCTCACCTGGAAGAGAAGAAAGGAGGAGAGCATAGATCTGGCTAGCCAGAGGTAGTGGAGCAAACAGGATGTCTGCTGTGAGCAAGTTACTAGGCTGGGTGCCCAGTAAGCATACCACTTACACAGTGTGAGGTGGACAGTGAAGAGTGCAAATTATCAACAGTTTCAAAATAAGGACAAAGACGTTACTTGAATATCTTAAGTCATAGCTGGTGTTTCTTGGTTAACTGAAAAAGAAAAGCCAGGAGCACAAAGCAGTGTATGGTTGTTGGGAATAGAAATGAGTTCTGAGAGGAGGCTGAAAAACAGCTGGGGTAGGGGAAGGAGGCAGACTGCACATAGAAGAGAGTCAACTGGGAAATGTGCAGAGTTCCTCATTTAATGGTGGCCGCTAGAAGGAGGGCGTGAGGGAGCAGAGGGCTCTGGGCTACCCCGGCCCCACTGAATGTCTAACGAAAGTCACTTCATTTGTCCTTGAACAAAGCTTCACTGTTGTGACCCTTTTGGCAGTAGATGTACCATCTCTTTGGTAGCCTTATACATAACTCCCTTTATCCAACAAGGGTTGCTAAAGTAAGGCACTGGGAGCCATCACTGTCCTTTTTAAAAAAGCTTTATTAGAGTATAATTTATATGCCATAAAATACACCCATTTTAAGTGTACAATTCAATGATTTTTAATAAATGTACAGAGTTTAGCAACCATTACCACAGTTGAATTTTAGAACATTTTATCAACCCAGAAAGTTCTGTTGTGTTCACTAGCAGTCAATCTCCATTCCCACTGATAGCCTCTTGGAAACCACTAACCTACTTTCTGTAAAAAGTAGATTATCCACATGGTTCAACCATGTAGATAATAGGTTCATCCATGTAACATGTTACCACCTCATAAAACAACATATTTAAATGGCCTGGTGTGAGATCAGATACAATTTCCTGATTCTGGTTTTCTAAAGAACCTCCTTTAAATGACCAAATGCATTATTTTTTTTCATTTTCTCCCTAGGATTTGGTGGCTTTTGAACATCAATGGACTAGCTTCTTCGCTAATTTTGACACAGAAATTCCTTTCCTGCTGGAACTTTCAGAATCTCAGGCGGGTGAGGTATGTATGGGAAGGGTCCAAGGGAAAGAAGAAATTTATTTATTTATTTATTTATTGTTTTTATCTTTATTTAAAAAGAATTTTTTTTCAGAATTCACTACCTAATTTGTTTTGGTTATCATTTCCTTAAGCTTTGTTGAATGCTTTAAAGAAGTTTTTAACCCCTATATAAAAAGTTTGTTATTTTTCGGTGGCAACTTCTCTGTTTTTCAGTGTGGTAGTGTCTCTGTCAGCCAGGAATTCTATTGGGCACTAGTTAATAAACCTACAAATAATTCTCCACATGTGAGCAGCACGCCTTTGTCAGTTGAACCTCTGGGTAATGCCAAGCTTTCTTTCTAGGCAAACAGTAGTGAAGTTACTAAGTTCGGGCCAAGATCCACTCCATAAGTAAACTGAGGCATCTAAATCAACAACTAAGCCACAGGACTGTCCCCAAAATTAGATAACAGGAAGGATCAGAAAAGCAATCCTGAGCTTGCACTTGAGCCCACCTTGGGCTTGACTGCCAGTCCTCAATTCTCCTCCACATTGTGCTCCACTTTGGCCCAGAACAAGCCCTGCTCCAGATCTGGGGAACTGGGGTGGATTTGTTGTCAGTGCATTTTACTTTTACATCATGTTATAAACCCCCCAATATATTGCCGTTGTTTTTGTTTAAATAGTCAATTGTCTTTTTAAGTTATCTTTTTAATATTTTAAGTTATTATCTTAAAGATTTAAATAATTTAAAAATCTTACCTGTTTGCCCATGTAGCTGCTCTTCCTGGTGCTCTTCATTCCTTTATATAGATCCAGATTTCCAGTTGGTATGATTTCCTTCTCCCTGAAGGATGTCCTGTAATATTTTTTGTGGTGTGAGTCTTCTTATGGTTAATTCTTCCAGCTTTTGTGTGCCTGAAAACAATCTTTATTTCACCTTCATTTTTTTTTTTCAGCTGAGCCATCCTGCCACCTGTTGGCAGCTCAGCGGCTGCTCAGCTCGGGCTGGGACTCAAACCGCTGTTGCTCAGAGCTCAAACTCTTGAGCGAGCTCTTAACCAACTGAGCCACTCAGCCGGTCCTTCACCTTCATTTTTGAAAGATATTTTTGCCATGTATAGAAATTCTAGGTTGACAGGTTTTTTTTTTCAGTACCTGAAAGGTGGTGTCCACTGTCTTTCTAGCATGTTTTCTGATAAGAAGTCTTTCATCTTTATCTTCATTTTTTGTATGTAACTGGTCTTTTTTTTCCTCTGGTAGCTTTTAAGATTTTTCTCTTTATTACTGGTTTGGAGTAATTTTATTATAATGTGTGTTGCTGTAATTTTCTTCATATATTTTGTGCTTAGGTTTTGTTGACCTTCTTAGATCTGTGAATTTATAGTTTTCATCAGGTTTGGAAAGTTTTTGGCCATTATTCATATTTTTTTTCTGTCCTTCTTTCCTTCAAAGACTCCAATTACTCTCTATTAGGCCACTTGAAATTGTCCCTGATGCCCCTTGCAATTTTTTGGATTCTTTTTTCTTCTCTCATTACTGGTTTAAGAGTGAAAGATATTCAAAAACGTCTACTCAGTGACATGTCACTTCTTGCTTCTTAGCTGCCTCATTCTCATTTCTCCCTTCTTTACACTCTTTACCCACCCACTCCACTACAAATCGGCAACAAATCTCTTCGGTTTCTGGTGTATCTTTTCTTTCTCTTTTGTACAAATGATAGATACATGTATGCTTTCTTATATCCTCTTCTTTCTTCCACTGAAGGGTAGCATACTATATGTAGTCATCTCCACTTTGCTTTTTTCACTGAGTGTATCCTGGAACTCTCCCCAGGTCAGTTCATTGAGGTCTTCCTCATTCTTTGTTATGATTCATAGTACTCCACTATGTGGATTTATCTTAATTTATTCAACCACCCCCTTATATATGCATATCTAGGTTGTTTTCAATATTTTCCTGTTGGAAACAGTGCCATAGTAAATAAATAACTCTGTGCTTATGTATTTTCATATTATTGGAGGTTTGTATACCTTACCTAGTAATGGGATTGCTGGGTCAAAAGGTAAGCGTGTATGTAGTTGTGTTAGTATTGCCAAATGTCCCTTTAGAAGGGTTGTACCAATTTGCATTCCCACCAGCAATATATGAGAGTGCTTGTTCCACCAAAGCCTCACCAACAGAATGTGTCATTTTTTACAGTCTCATACATGAGAAATGGTATCTTGGTATTATTTTAATTTGTATTTTGTTTGAAGGCGATTTTATATTTTATTTTCATGTCTTCCCATTTTAAAATTGGTACAATATTATTAATGAACTATAGGGCAAAGGTTTTAGGTCTTTTGTCCCTTAGTTTTAAAGAGTTCTTTATATGTTTAGGCTATTAACGTTTTATCTGTGGCATATATTCCAGATATTTCCTCAATGTTTATCAATTGCTTTGTTTATTTATATTTTTGGCCATGCAGACTGTTTTATCTTTATGTAAATTTTTTTTTTATTGCCTCTGGAATTTTAGTAATTGTATAGAGAAAGGCTTTAATATTAAAGAGGGATTCACCCTTTTGGTACTTGTATGGTTTAATTTTAAATTTTAAGTTTCTAATTAATTTGGGATTTTGTGTGTGTGTGTGTGTGTGTGATGTGAAAAATGGATCTAATTTTATCTTTCTTCCCAAATGACTACCCAATTAAAATCCCAGCTATGCAACTCACTAGCTCTGTGACCTGGAACGAAGTTAATTAACTTTTATGTCTTAGCCAACACATCTCTAGAGAGGGGATAATGATGGAATAAACCACATAGGTTGTTAATAGGATTACTTGAGATAATACATTTACGTGCCTATCACAGTTCACATGATAAATCCATAGTAAATTTTAACTATTATTATTTTAATATATAAAGAGTTTTTATAAATTAGTAAGACAAAAACCAAAGCTCCAATTGATAAACATCCAAAGGATGTAAGTAAACGGTTAATTAATTACCAAATGTCCATTGAACATATCAGAAATATTCTACTTCATTAAAAATCAAAGGGATGGGCCGGCCGAGTGGCGCGATGGTTAAGAACTGGCTTGGGACGCCAGAGGGCCCCGGTTCAGATCCCACATATGAGGGCCAGTGACACTGCCCTCCACAGCTAAGATGCTGAACTACAGCTCAACCTGGAGCTGGGCAGCCGTGAGTCGCCTGCGACAGCAGAGGCTGCAGCCCCTGTGGCAGTGGGTTGCCATGGGCTACCGTGTGTAGCCAGCAGCCAGCGTGAGCGGCCAGCAGCCGCAGTGAGCGGCCATCCAGAAGCCGGTGACTGATCTGCCTCACCTGGGAAGAGCGCAATGATGGTGCCAACTTGGGCCAGTGAAGCAATGTCCTCAACAACTAGACTGAAGAACAAAAACGACAGCAACTTGTCTGTTCCCCTTCCCCCAATTCCCCAGCACTGTTCCCATCCCCCCAATTCCCCAACAAAAATCTTAAAAAAAAAAAAAAATCAAAGGGATGTACAATAAAACAACAATGAAGTGCCATTTTTTCATTTATCGACTTGGCAAATATATTTTTAAGTGGACATTTAATGGACAGTGCTTATGGTGATATCCTGTGATAGTCACACTCTTGTATTGTAAGTGGAACTGTACCTTGATAAAACTTTTTTTTTTTTAAAGATTTTATTGGGGAATTGGGGGAGGGGACCAGCCAAGTTGTTGTTCTTCAACCTTCGTTGTGGAGGGTGCCAGTCGCCATCTGGCTGCCCGTCAGCAGCTCATGGCCTCTAAGCTCAAGGTGCTGTGTTCAATCTTAGTTGCAGGTGGGCATAGCCCACCATCAAACAGGCAATCTTGTTGTTACACCAGCTGAGCCATCCTGCCACCTGTTGGCAGCTAAGCGACAGCTCAGCTCAGGCGCTGCATCACTGACCCATGTGGGAATCAAACCAGCGGCCCTGTTGCTCAGAGCTCGCGCTCTTACGCCAACTCTTAGCCAACTGAGCCACTCGGCCGGCCCTTAATAAAACTTTTTTGAAAAACTATTTGGCAGTGTAGTCTGCCTTTTTACCCTATAACTTTATTTCCAGATATACATTAAGGAAATAATCAGATGCAGATAAAATTTATGAAAAGTTGCTTGATATAGAATTATTTATTATATAAGAGTTAGTAGCAATATAAATTTCCAAGGATAGAGGACTATTTAATAAACTTTGGTACAATTGTATATATTCTGTGGATGTACCATAGAAAAAAGATTTGAAGGAAATGTGCCATAATGTCAGCAGTTCTTTAGAGATTATAGATGGTTTTTATTTTATTCTAAAATAAGCGTGTATTCATTATATAATAGGGGGTGAAAACCCCAATAGATGTGACTTAAGGGGATTGAAATTTTGAACCCTGCATATCAGGTTTTTTTTTTATTGACTCAAAAGCTTTAAGAAAACATTTGGAATTGTCTGAAGACTTTAAAAACTTCACAAAAAATGGTTCTTTGTCATTTTTGAACTCGATGGAGCCTGGGGGTCTTGGGGCAGTGAGTGGGGGCCGCCAGCTGGCAGGAGAGCAGCTGCAGTTGGGCACCAGCCCAGTGCACACCCGCCGCACTGCATATCAATTTTTGATTAGTGTTTAGCCTAGCACTGTACACACCAAAGCTGAGAAGTACTTCTTTGGTTTCCTGAAAAACATCTATCAGTGTAATTCTCAGTTCCTTGGATTCTCCCTCATTGCTGATTTTTAATTCTTTCATTAGAATTAATATATATTCCTTTATTGAAAATGTAGAAAAAAAATTTAATAGAAGAAAAAATGCCCACGTGTTTAGTAATTTGGATGGTAGTTATTCCAGTTTCTTTTCAGTAATTACAGCCTGTAAAATTTGACAAGAATTTCTTTTCTTTACCTTACTTTTCCTTTCTTTTGCAGCCTTTTGTCTTTTTTTTTTTTCCTTTGCTGTTTTTGGTTTTTTAGCTACCTGTTCCCAAATTCATGTTGTTATCCACCACTTGTGTCCTTTCATGTTCTTATAATAACATACAAACATATATCTTTCTCTTTCTTGCTCTCATACACACATACTATATATGTATATATATTTATAGATACTTACAAATATACATAAGAGGTTTTGTATTTGTTTTGTAAAATTGTGATCTTAATATATGCAATGTTGGCTTCTTTTTTAGCCATTCAGAAGCTATTTCAGTCATGGAATGATCTCCAGCCATATAACTGAAAACAGGTAAGATTCTTGGGGTAGAAAGGTGAATGGTAATAGAGAAAATGGATTGACAAGGCAGGTGGATGTGGGGGAGCATCTAAATCCAGAAGATAGAGTCAGGAAAATATAGGTGGACTTTAATCATCACAGAGTAAAAAAATCCATACTCTGTAAAATTGCCTGTTTCACTGCTTTTGTATTTTTGTAATTTTTAAATATAGTTTTATAGTAAACTAGCTTTTAAAACATTCTAGCTTGCTGAAATCTAAAGAAAGACACTTTTGGGGGTGACCAGTTAGCTCATTTGGTTGGAGCGTGGTGCTGATAACAGCAAGGTTGCCGGTTCCATCCTCACATGGGCCACTGTGAGCTGCGCCCTCCTTAGGGGAGTCAACTATGCCATTGTAGCATGAAAGCAATGTGTAACCAATGACCATAGCTGTTCCCCAATAAAATTAAAAAAACAAAAACAACAAAAACTACAGATATTTTTTTTAAAAGAAAGAAACTTTTTATTTCATTCCGAGCCGAAAAAAGCGAGAGGAAGCGATGTGTCCAAGGGCTGGGAAAGGATCATCCGAGGCTTGTGGGGAATAAAAAAGATTGGCATAAAGGTCCCAGGAAGGGAATGGGAGCGGTGAGGGTTCCTGCATTTGTTCTCTTGATGTGTTCTTCAGCACCTCTTTTGTCATGATAATCAGGAGGGCCCAGAAGGGAATAGTTGAGTAGATAATTCCTTTCTTTTCTCCCCCAATTACAATCCAATCTGATAGTGAGACAAACTACCCTGGCTGGGCCTCAGAGTCATCTGTTTCTCTCCAAAGTGTCATTTAGCTTGAGTTAAGGTTCAGAAGAAAAATCAGTCATATTTACAGTTAAGAACCCCTGTTTTGGGCCGGCCGAGGGGCATGTTGGTTAAGAACTGGCTTGGGACGCCAGAGGGCTCCAGTTTGGATCCCACATATGAGGGGCAGTGACACTGCCCTCTACAGCTAAGATACTGAACAACAGCTCAACCTGGAGCTGGGCTGCTGTGAGTCGCCGGAGATGGCGTAGGCTGCAGCCTCTGCTGCAGTGGGTTGCCATGGGCTACTGTGTGTAGCCAACAGCCAGTGTGAGTGGCCAGCAGCAGCCGTGAGCAGCCGTCCAGAAGCCAGTGACTGATCTGCTTCGCCCGCAAAGAGCGCAATGATGGTGCCAACTTGGGCCAGTGAAGCATCGTCCTCCACAACTAGACTGAAGAACAAAAGGACAGCAACTTGTCTGTTCCCCTTCCCCCAATTCCCCAGCACTGTTCCCATCCCCCAATTCCCCAATAAAAATCTTTAAAAATAAAGAAACAAACAAACAAAGAACCCGTTTGCCTGAAGCTTAAGGAGGTATTTTTAAGAGTAATGAAAAGAAAGGCAAAGAATTTTCCACGTGACACATACTAGGGGCAATTTAAGGAAAGGGTGGGGGATAAAGGAAACTGTCTTAGTCTGTTTTAGCTGCTCTGATAAAAATACCATAAACTGGGTGGCTTATAAACAAAAAACATTTATTTTTCACATTTTTGGAGGCTTGGAAGTTCAAGATCATGGTGTTGGCAGATTCAGTCTGGTGAGGACCCACTTCCTTATGGACAGCTGTCGTTTCACTATAACCTCACATGGCAGAGAGGGCTTGGATCTCTCCGGAGCCTCGATGAGGGACCCACCCTTATGATCTAATCACCTCCCAGAGGCCCTCTCTCTTAATGCCATCACTTTGGGGGTTAGGAGTTTTAACATAAGAAGTTTATGGGGATACATTTGGTCCAAAGCAGAAACTATATGTTTAAAATATCTTTTAGTCATTGAATATTTATTGAGAACATATGATATATATACTAAGCAAGAGATACATGGTTAAAAAATAAACCAGACATGGTCTCTTCCCTCATGGACTGTATAGTGTGGTGGGGAAAGACATTAACCAAGCAACCTCACAGAGAAATACGTAATTACAAACTCTTTGGTGCCATGAAGGAGAAAAGAACATGTTACTGTGAAGACCATAGCTGGAGAGCGTGACCTCCTTTGGGGGAAGATCTGGAAGATGAGGAAAGATCCTGGTCCTGAGATGAGAACATAAGGAGAGTAAAAGAAGATGAGTTTGGCTGGAGTATGGGAGTTGGGGGACAGTGGCCTTACATGGACCTAAAGAAGTTGGCCAGGCCACACCATGCAGGGGTTTTTGGGGTTTTTTTTTTGGCCATGTAAAAGATTTCAGCCCTTCTTCTGAAAATAACATAAAGGCATTAAAGGCTTTGCATGTTTAAAATATCATCATCCTCTCTGCAATGTGGAGAATAGATTGCAGGAGGGCAAGAGTGGAAGCAGGGAAACTGCATGGAAGCGTTGCATTTGTCCAGGGAAGAGACCATGAACTAGGGTTGTGGCCATGTGGATGGAGGGAAATGGATAAATAGACATGAAATTTGGGTTGCTGATTGGATTTAGAGGTAGGCAAAGTCAAGGAGGCCTCTCCGGCCTCACCCAGCGCCTGGATGGATGATGATGCCGTTTATTTACTGCAAGAAATGGAAGGGGTAGGAACAGGAGAGGGGAGGGGAGGGGAAGGGGAGACAGCTGAAGGTAAAACCCTAGGAATATTCAGAGACCCGGTAAAGGAGGAGGATGACTGGTGAGGGATACTGAGAAACAATAGCTTTTGCAGGGGGAGGATGTCAGGTGCCTCTGAGAGACCAAGGAAGGGCAGGTTGAAGGCTGTCCTTTGGGTTTGCTGTATGCCGCATGAAAGGCATTTGGGCGACTTTTGCAAGAGCAGTTTGAGTGAATTGACTGAGGAGGATCGATTGAAGTGGGCTGAGAAATGAGCAGAAAGTTAAAACAAAAAACAAAAAAAGACAATTCCAGCCAAGAGAGCAGGGAGGGAAGAAGGGAATGGGTGCAGGGGCAGGTACGGGTGATGGTGAGAACACTTGCAACGCTACCTTCCGTCTTCCCTCCTGAAAGTTGCTCAGGAATTACGAACAACTCTATTGTCTGTCTGTAGTCTGAGTATCACAATTGCTATCACGCTATTAAAATGCTCTTTTATGAAACTGCGATTTTGTCCCATCACTGCAAATTTATGGAACTTTCTCATCAAGAGGTAGGACAAGCTGAAAATAAAAGCTTGGCTTCGGTTTAGTTATGTCCCTAAAGAACTGATCTGTATGGGTCAGTAAGAGGAGTCATAGACATCTGGCATCCCCTCCCAGCCAGCAAGGAGCGTTAGGTGGACTGTATTAACTACTTTGCTAAGACTGCAGGAAGCCACTCACTCAATGGGAAGTGGCCCTGGCCGGGCATTTGTTTTCTAATTACTTGTTTTTAATTTGTCCCTCTAGCCCTTCTCGGCAGCCATTTGTTCTCTTTGGTAATCACTCCACACGAGAAAACCTGAATGCTGGCAGCTTTAACTTCCCCTCTGAAGGGCACCTGGTACGCAACACTGGTCCCAGTGGGAGCTTTGCCAAGCACATGGTGAGTGGCTTGACTGCCTGGTGCTTAATTGGTTTTATTATTAAATAGGGAGTAGTGGGGGCTGGATAAAAGGAACCTTTTCCAGTTACTGTTGGTTTAACCTTGAACGTGAAGATGTTTTGGAGTGAAAACAACTTCAGGGTAGATGGAGTAGACATACTATTTCCTATCCCTCTCACTAAGTACATTTAAAAACCCTGGATATTATATATAAAACAAACATAAGAAGACTCTGAAAGGTGGAGAGAAGAAGGCAGATTGGCTAAGAACCTCAGGACCAAAGGACCAAAATGGCAGTGTAGTTTTCTGGGGTTTCTTTGTATCCCAGACTGGATACTGGAGAAGCTGGCAATGTGGAAATGCCAATACGAGGCACAGACATTAGAAGCCCTAAGAAAAGTCTGCTCTCCCTGACCAAAGGACCAGGAAAGTGGCAACCTAGCAAGACAGAAACTTTGAGACACAGCTGCTGTACTCTAGCCAGACCCCTTAGGAAAAAACTGCATCTCCACCCCCACACCTGCCAGCAAGGGCTCAGTGCAGAGCCTAGAAGGTCCACCCTTGCCAGATTCTCACACCCACCCCTGTCAGGACAGTGTCAGAGAAGGCCAAGTGGGAAGCCAGGCAGTAATGAACCCTATCCCCCTGCCCCAGAGTATCAGTGGAGACCGCAGGGGAGTCTGGACTTTTACCCCCACCCAGCAGTAACAAGGTGCCCCTCCTTGGGATAGTATCATTGGAGCCAATGGAGCGTCAACAGTGACAAAGTCACCACCTTACTCATGGTGTCTGTCACTCTCCCAAGCCAGGGTGGTATCAATAGAGGTATACAGGGGAACCCACACCTGCCCAACAGTAACAAGGAGCGTGCGCACATACACACACACACACACCTACCCCCACCACACACGTCATAAAGGCTGAGTGGAGAATCTAGACTTACATTTCTACCTGGCAATAATGAAGTGGCAGGTTCCTCTGCTCACCCACTGAAGCAATGCTAGAGGAAGCCTGCCAAACATAAGACTTAAATAAGATCCAGCAAAGACTTTTGATTTTAGCTCTAATGTGTAAAGAGCTTGTAAAGCATTCCTACCATCTTTACAACAGGAAAAAAGCTGAACTAAAAATCAACAACTTTTCTTGGACTCATTAGAGAACTGAAATCTCAAAGCCAATTGCCACCTCGAAATCTGGAGAAACAAGTGAATCCAAAGAGTCACAGCCACTGAATGAGTACCTAGAGCCAAAACCACACTCAAATGATGGTTTTGATGAATCCCTAGAGGCTGAATATGGACTAGTGTGAGAGTACAAGACTCATGGGAAGGCACAGTCTTAGATAGACCCCTACACATTTGTGGGTTTAACTTTGAGGAGCCCCGTCAGGTTCTGGTGAAGAGCCAAGAAAAATCCCCTCACAGCTCTGTCAAGGGAAGGAGAAAAATAATCATTTTGAACTATAACAAAGTTATCCATAACAAAGGCCTGCTCTCTAGGATAAAAGACTTTACCAGAACCTTATCTCATCTTGGAAAAGGACACTTACCTGACTAACACACTAGCTTTGGTGTCACCTAAGGGAGGAGAAACAAAAAGGTTAAGAAACTCTTGTAAAGGTCTTAACCCAGGCACACACACAGGCCCACTAAAAGATTAAGATTTAATCATAAGATTATAGAATATTTCCCCTCCCCCATTACCTTACCACCACATCAACAGGTTTCCAACATACTTGGGGATTACTGCTGAAAGAGCTTCCATATGCAAACTACCTAAGGAGGAGTTCTTATGGAAACCCAAAGACAACAGGAGAGACGAATAGAATGACACTACAGGAATTTGAAGCACCTGTAGCTACAGAAAACATTGAACACAATCCAACTAACTCCCTGTCAGAGTAACACAAAACCTCACATACTGAAGCCTGTTTACCTCAGTTCCTATTACCTGATACATTGTGTCTGGCTTTCAACAAGAAATGACAAGGCATGTTAATAGGCAAGAAAAAACATAGTCTGAAGAGACAATATAACTGTCAGAACCAGACTCAGATATGACTCATATTTTAGAATTTTCAGACAGGGAATTTAAAATAATTATGATTAATATGTTAAGGGCTCTAATGGAAAAAGTTGACAACATGTAAGAACAGATGGATAATGTAAGCAGTGAGATGGAAGCTCTAAGAAATAATCAAAAGGAAATGCTAGAATTCAAAAACACTACAACAGAAATGAAGAATGGTTTTGATGGGCTCATCAGTAGACTGGACACAGCCAAGGAGAGAATCATTGAGCTTGAAGATAGATCAATAGAAACTTCCCAAACTGAAATGTAAAGAGAAAAAACAATGTGGAAAAAAAAAAAGGACATGCAAGAACTGTGAGACAATTTCAAAGAATGTAACATACACATAATGGGAATATCAGAAGGAGAAGAAAGAGAGAAAGGAGCACAAGAAATAGCCGAAATAACGTAAGTAACAATGGCTGAGAATATTCCAAAATTAATGACAGATACAAAGCCACAAATCCAGGAAGCTCATAGAATACTAAGCAGAATAAATATGAAAATATCTACACCTCATCCTACCATATTCAAACTTCAGAAGATCAAAGATAAAGAGAAAATCTTGAAAGAAGCTGGAGGAAAATATGCCTTACCTATAGAGGAGTAAGAATAAAAATTACAGTGAACTTCTTATCAACAACCATGCAAACAAGAGGAGAGTGGAGCGATATATTTAAAGTGTTGAAAAAAAACCCCACCAACCTGAATTCTGTATCCAGCAAAATTACTATTCAGAAGAAGAGGGGAGTGGGAAGTACAGAAGAAATAAAGACTTTCTAAGACAAAAAAACCCAGGGAATTCATCACCAGCAGACCCGCCCTGCAAGAAATGTTGAAAGAAGTTCTTCAGTTGTTAAGAAAAAAATTGTATAGATCAGAAACTTGGGGCAGAGCATCAAAGAAGGAACAAATCAAGGTAAATAAAAATCTTTTATTTTTATTATTCTTAATTGATCATAAAAGATAACTAATAGGGCCTGCTGAGTGGCTCGCTGGGTAAGAGTTGGCTTGGGATGCCAACTCTGAGCAGCAGAGCCACGGTTCAGATCCCACATGGGCCAGTGACTCTGTGCCCTCTACAGCTAAGATGGTGAACAACAGCTCAACCTGGAGCAGGGCTGCTGTAAGTTGCCGGCTACGGTGTAGGCTGCAGTGGAGCTGCAGTAGGCTGCCGTAAGCTACCGAGAGTGGCTGGCAGCCAGCGTGAACGACCTGCAGGTGCCGTGAGTGGCCATCCGATGACCAGCGACTGACTGCCTCACCCGGGAAGAGCGCAATGATCA